CCCCAAATTCCCAAGAAAATCCCTAAGGATGAAGAAAGCACTCTTCGTTCTTCGTCAAATCCTCCTTCAAGATCAAGCTCCGACGGCCCTTGAAGAACTCCCACCAACTCAAGATCAAGCCCCGACGGCCCCTTGAAGAAAGTGTTCATCCTAAGCTCAAGCCCCAACGGCCCTTTGGATCAACAACCTCAACAAATCCACACATCCAATCGTTCTTCAAGATTAAGTCTAAAAGCCCTTGAAGATCCGCTCATCCATCAACCTTAAGATCAAGCCCAAAAGCCCTTGAAGAAATCCACACAACCATTATTCAAGATCAAGCCCCAACGGCCCTTGAAGAAAGCGTTCATCATTCATCATCCGTTCATCCTCAGATCAAGCCCCAACGGCCCTTTGGATCAACAACCTCAACAAATCCACACATCCAATCGTTCTTCAAGATTAAGCCCAAAAGCCCTTGAAGATCCGCTAATCCATCAACCTTCAAGATCAAGCCCAAAAAGCCCTTGAAGAAATCCACACAACCATTATTCAAGATCAAGCCCCGACGGCCCTTGAAGAAAGTGTTCATCCGTTCATCAACTGTTCATCCTTAGATCAAGCCCCGACGGCCCTTTGGATCAACAACTCATCCACAAACCTACACCCTACGAAGATAGAATCAGAGGACCAAATTTGAGAGAGATCGTAACCCCAAAATCATTAAACACAAAATATTATTTTGTACACGTTATTCTTGTCTCTTGTTTCAAGGAATATTTCGTGTTCACAATAACAAATTTATCTGTTGTACCAAGTTAAACAAATGCTTGGTCAAAAATATGTTGGTGGTTGAAGCCTTGGCTAGTGGTTGAAGCCCTGGCTAGTGATCACACCCTAGCGCTCAGCTCAGCCATTCTCGCCAATCTCCTGCGCTGCCTGGCCTAAACAACCATCAACAAAATCGACCCATACCAAAATGAACCCCTCTGGCTTTTCCAACTCTTGTTGCAGGTTTATTTCGCCACTCTTCAACCAGAGATCTCCTACCTCTAACCCACTGACGCACTCGGCCTTCAGTTAGCTTCTCGACCGATGCCTCCTTATAGGGCAGAAGAAGTCTTAAAATACTTCTTCGGCCTAGACGTCCTTTCGGACGATGAATTTTTCATATGTTATCGTCAAGAGTACACATCCTCAATCAGGCTTCCAACATCAGCATGGAATGAAGCTGAAGATGCTGATCTTCGTCAAAATTGAGGGTCGTTCGTGTTAACACGCGACCTACCCCTCGGCTGCGACGCTCGTCGAGCAAGCTGGGAGGTCTACCATCCTCACTTCACTGCTCGAAAACTTGGCTACCTTCAAGGTTGCCCGATGCCTCTACTTACTAAACGATCCCTCCTAAGCCGATGATGTTTCTCTGGTTCTTCGAAGAAGGAATGTCGAGATATCGAGAAAGAATTTCAAGAGATGTGCAAGAAATTCCACCTTCGACGAACTGTTCCTAAATCTCTCGGTACTGATACCTTTGACGACTGGTGGGAAGAATACACACGGGACTTCTTTGGCACTCTAGTCGAAGATGTCATCAACAAAATCTTTGGCGACCGATCTAAAACAACTCCTACCCCTCAATCCAAATAGATAACCCAAGGTATATGACTATCTCTACCTTTATTTCTTCTTTTAAAAAAAAAACAAAAAAAACTTACTCGACTTTACTAATTTAATCTCGCTTTCTCAGATGGTCGAGTGCTGAAATAAGCAGAAGTGATCGCCGCAGCTGCGGCCAGGAAAAAATGGGTCCCCTCCAAGAAAACTAAAGCTGTCGTGCAAACCCCACTGAGCAAATGACCTCGCCAGGAAACCGAGATGGCAAGTGAAGCCCCTCGCCCCACAAAACGCATTAAGAAATTGACGAAGAAAGGAAAACGGAAGATTCACGCTATCTCCAGCCAGACCAAGGGAGCGACCGCTCCCAGTGTCTCTCCTCCTGCTCCAATCCTTCAGGCCTCGACGGAGAAGCAGCTAACTCTAATTAGCCAAGCGCCCCAAATTCAACCAGTCCTTGGGGTTGTGGCCCAACCAATTGTTACTCTACTGGTCAAAGAGCCTGCAGCTCCAGCACCGGCTGATGCACCCATATTGAAGGAAGTGCCCCTTAGGTCGGGAAATATCTCCCTAAAAATAAAAAACAATCAACAATCATCTTGGAAGAGATATGATTATGTTGTTGGTAACTCCCTACATCTCATTAAATTCAAAAGTATTAACAGCTTTTTATTTCAGGATGACGAAAGCGATAAGATTCTGCTGACGAGTCACCCTGGACCAGCCAAACCTCCTTCCACTAATTCTCCCCCTATGGTCGAGGCAACTGACCAAGTTGATTTTCCTGTAGCCGACTGTGGAAAAAGGCCTCATGTTGAGCCTGAAGCCATGACGGAAACACCTATTCACGTGCAAGATCAGGACCTTGGTATTCCCCCCAAGAAGCCACTTCGGCCTTCGTAAGTACTTGTATTCCTTTCCTTTGGTCAATCTTCTATTTAGAATTCTAAACCAGGAAAATATTAAATGTCAGGTGCCTACTTTCTCATTTCACTGAAAATTCTATGTGCCGAAGGGTGTTATCTATATTTCCTGGCCACCTCAGTGGTCGTCAAACGTAGATAACCTTCATCGGCCACGTGAATATAGAAGCAGTCTAAAGCATTGGGCTCGGCCATTAAGCTCTCTAGGTTCGAACAATGAACCAGGAGACATAGCCAAAGTCTCTTATCAGCAGATCTAAAACCAATTCTCTCTGTCAATTTTTGTTTTAAGATTTTCCTTTTGTCTAAAATCTTTTCATATGCAGCCTTCATGGGAAGTCGAGTTCGATGCTCTTATTTCGACTACTTCGAGAGTGGCTAGTTCTTCGACGACTACAACCAGACCCTCTATAACAACGGCCGAATCAGCTGCCCTTGTCAAGTTGTAGGAGCTCTTGTCTCTCTCAGCTTCACAAATTCTCGAACTCAAGGGCATCAACTTTGTGGGGGAATGTATGAACGATCTTACAGCTGATGGTCAATTGAGCAACGAAGCTATCACTCGAGCGTCTTCTACCCTAGAACGAACCTGAGAATATTTTGGTATTTTCGAGAGAGCTTTTTGGGCCGAAGACGACTTGAAAGCTGCAATGGTCACTCAAGAAGCTCTTCGTCCAAAGGTCGAAATATTGAAGGCGAAGAAAGAAATGCTAGCCGACCTTGATCGTCAAATTGCCGAACTCCAAAACCGAAGGTCACTAGTTGCTTCCGAGCTTGCAAAGGATTTTGAGTCAAGCGGCAAATCTTGCTTAACCGAATATGCGGCTAGTGTAAGGCAAGTCGAGCAGCTGAAGATGGATAAGAGGAATCGCCAAGCTGAGGTCACAATGGGCGAGGTGAGGTGGTTGCAGTTGAAGGCTGTCCTTGAATCTCCCATTCCTTCATCACCCTAGGACTATTTAGTCGTAAACAAATCGACCAACTATATTTGTATACCCTTTTGCGAACTTATTAATGAAATGAACTTTTATTCCCGCATCTCCCATGTGACTGGATAATATTTCTTTAAAAATTTCCCATTGATTGGTAGTTTGTGAATTAAGCCGATTCAATCTTTAAGGTGGTATGCCCTTTTCCCGAGGACTTTATGAACAACAAATGGCCCTTCCCAATTCGGCGACCACTTGCTGAACCTGGGGTCCTTAATTCCCACAGGCAACACAATTTTCCAAACCAACTTTCCTTTGTCGAACGTTTTTTGTCTGACTTGCTGATTATAAGCTTGCTCGGCAATCTTTTTCTATGCCGTTAATAAGTTATAAGCATCAAGCTAAACTTCCTCCAATTCTTCTCACTCTTGTCTCATGGCTTGATTGTATTCGGCGCTGGACAAACTACTTTGCTCGATCACTCGTAATGAATTTATACTTAACTGGTAGCATTATGTCATGTCCGTAAGTTAACGCGTATGAAGTTGTCCTTGTTACTGATCGGGATGAAGTCTGGTATGCCCATAAAGCCTCATTCAACTTCAAATGCCACATGCTGGCTTTTCTTTTTTTTTTTTTTTTTTTTGAGAATGCCAATCAGAACTTTATTACTCGCTTCAGCCTGTCCATTTACTTGTGGGTAATACAGAGTCGATTGTTCAAGTTGAATTTTCAAGCTCATCGTGTACTCCTCGAACCTATCGGCTGTAAAGATTATGCCATTGTCAATTATGATTGTTTCTGGCATGCCAAATCTGGTCACAATGTGTTCTTCCACAAAATTGCAAACCTCCTTGGATGTTAACTCGGCATATGATTTTGCTTCGACCCATTTAGTAAAGTAATTTGTGGCCACGAGTATCCATGCATGTTTTGCTGCTCCAGATGATGGTGTAATTTTACTGATCACGTCCATTGCTTATCCTCTGAACGGCCAAAGTTTGGTAACCGAATGAAGTGATTCGAACAAGGTCTCTCTACATAAGTCCCTGGATTTGACACTGCACACATCTCCGAGTGTACTCGATACAATCCTTCAATATGGTCGGCCAGAAATAGCCATGCCGGTGAAGCAACCAAATCATCTTTCGTCCGGATTGATGAGCTCCACAAATCCCTTCGTGTACTTCAGCAATTGCTTAGGCAGCCTCATGTGGGCCAAGTCACAATAACAATAAACCATCATCACGTAGTTTGTGGTATGGACTCTTGTCCTCCAGTCGTGTTTGTCGCTAGGGTTATCGAGATATCATATAATTGACCTTCTTCAATCGTCTGGCAACGTCTCGACAACACATACTTCTATATGCTCTTCTCGTTCTACCAACGATGGTAAGAACATCACTTGCGTTCGTATCACATGATTGCGCTAAATAACTTGCTGATTAACCAAGGCCAGGTAAGATTATCGTCCTATAGGTATTGCCCGGCCTCGCTTGCCCTCTAAGAGTTATGCTCCGGAGGCTATTTGAGCAAATTCGTCCACATCGGTGTTTCAAACACACAAAATATGCTCAAATGTAATTCCCTCAAATGACTTGGCCAAATAGTTGGCAACCATATGATAGGGTGCCAAAGTATAAATCATGCAACGAAAAACGTCGTTTAGTTGGTTAATCACAAGTTCTGAATCGCCAAGGACAAAGACGCGAGCTACTCTTAAGTCATGAAAGATGTAAAGGCCGATGATAAGAGCCTTATACTCGGCCTGATTATTCGTACAACTGAAGTCTAGCTTGAGAGAGAAATACCAACGGTAGTGGTCGGGGGATTGAATGATGATGCCGACACCAGCCGAGGCCGAAGTACTAGAACCATCAAAGTGCATCATCCAGTAGTTGTCTCGTGTTTCGACCAGTCCGAGGTCAACTTCGTCGCCCCCGAAACCATATGGAGAAGGTTGCTGGGCCAAAAAATCGGCTAGAGCTTGTCCTTTGAAAGCTTTTTGTGGCACATATTGCAAACTGAACTCTGATAATGCCATTGTCCATTTCCCAATTTGGCCTTTTATTATAGGCCGAGTAAGTATGTAACAAATAACATATGTATGGGCGATGACCTGTGTAACTGATAGGAGCATGTAATGTCGAAGTTTTAACGTGGCGAAAAACAAAGCCAATCAAAGTTTCTCGACGGGTGAATAATTGATCTCAGGCGAATTCAAATTCTGGCTGAGATAAAAAATAGCTTGTTCATGCTCGGCATCGTTGTCTCTCATCGGCAACCGAAATGTATAGCTTAAGAGGCCTACCACGTCGAGGTAGTACGAGGATCGGTGGCGTTGTAAGGGAGACTTTGAGTTGTGTGAAAGCCGTCTGATGTTCTTCTCGCCACTCAAACCTATTTGAGTTTTTAAGTTTCAAGAGCGTAGAAAACACTTTCATCTTACCCGCCGAATTAGCTATGAAACGGCGGAGAAAATTTATCTTCCTGAGTAACGACTGGAGTTGCTTCTTAGTCGTCGGAGGTGGAGCACTAATGATCGCACAAGCTTTATTTTTGTCTACTTTGATGCCATGATGGTGCACTAGAAAACCTAAGAAGTTACCGACAGATAAACCGAATGTGCACTTGGCCGGGTTCATTTTGAGATTATGTTGGCGCATAAGAAGGAACACTTACCGAAGATCATCCAGATGCGTTCGGCGGCTCTTCGATTTCACTACCACATCGTCAATATATACTTCTATAACCATACTGATCAAATCATGGAATATAGTATTCATAGCTCATAGGTATGTGGCACCAGCGTTCTTGAGGCCGAATGGCATAACAACCCATTCGTACGTGCCGAGTGCCTCCGGGCAATGAAAAGCGGTTTTGTGAACATCGGCTTTTGCTATAAAAATCTGGTTGTAGCCAGCATGGCCGTCCATGAAAGACAACATTTCATGATTGGTTACAGCATCAATTAACAAATCTGAGATTGGCATCGGGTATTCATATTTGGGAGTACATTTTTCTTTAGCACCGGGATGATATTAGCTAGCCATTTCAAATTACGGAAGTCGATACAGATGTGTAGGGCACCATATTTCTTTAGCACCGGATGATATTAGCTAGCCACTCGACGTATCTAACGGCCTGAATAAACCCCGCTTTTAAAAGTCAAAGTAGTTCATCTTTTATGCCAAGTTGTACTTCGGTTGAGAATCTGCTAGGGGGTTGTTAGAATGGCTTACAACCATCTTTGATGCGTAATTTATGTTCAACGAGGGTCTGATTAAGGCCTGGCATCTCATGATAACTTCAAGCAAAACAATCTTTAAACTTGTTTAGTAATTTACAAAGTTCGATCTTCATGGAGTGAGGTATCAACGCAATAATAAATAACGACCGAGGGTTATCGGCCGCGTCAACATTTATTTTTTCTAATAGGTCCTTAACTTTTGGTCGATTGTCTTCGAGTTCGGCCGGTACGGCCTGAACTTTATCTAACGATAGTATTGGGCCGTTATCTCCCTCGGTCAAAAATTCGATTAAGTTTATGCCCGAATATGGATGCTTGGAAATAGCATACCAATGAGCCAACAGATGTTCCATGGTAGATGAAACCGCAACCCGACGCATTTCTCATTTGGCGTCAGTCATCAGTGTTGGTAATTAAGTATGCCAAGCTAAGTCTCACGGAATCCTAATATACAGTCTCGACGCCTACCTTGATGGCTTTTTGGACTAAGATCCGAGTTAGCCGTTCGTCCTCATTAAAACCCTACAGGGTAATGTAGCTGACGTGATCATCATAATAGCGGGCCTGAATCATGTTGGTTTCGAACGATTGATTATCAGCTGGGTAGACCACAACCGATTTGCCGTCCCCAAAGATGAGAACTTGGTATAGTGATGAAAGAATGCAGCTTGTTTGATGGATCCAGTCACGGCCAAGCAATGCATTATATTCGGTCTTTGAGTCAATTATAAAATATACTGTCATGTGGTTGCGACCTGCAACGCTTACCTCTAACTGGAGCACCCCTTTGGTTTGGGACTTACCGCTGACGAAGCTACTCATGGTTATTATTAACTGTATGAGTTCATCATTGGAACAGCATAATGCCTTCATGATGGATACAGGCATGATGTTGATTGTGGCCCCACAATCGACAAACACCTTAGAAATTGGGTATCCTTTAATATGAGATGTAACGTACAACAACTTTAGATGTTGGAGATTAACAGAAGATGAGTGGGGGAATAATTCAGCCAGCGCTGCTTTAAGCTTGTCATCCTCACTCGTTTGCCCATCTTCTTCGGTGGCGATGAAATCAACTTGTGTTGCTCCTTCGGCAACCACGTCCTCATCCAAGAAATTTGGCTGGTGTGTGGTTGGTCGAAATTCAGCGGGTAAAACATGGACTATGCTGATTTCCATGTTTTCGAGGACTGAAGGACCCATCGGGTCCTAGTCGTCTTCCTTTGGGTGATCGAAGGTAGTATCATGCTTTTGAGCAATCTTGTCATGGTCATCTTCTGCCTCATTGGATGCTTGCTCTTGTGGTACGACACCTGGGCCTATTTCATTTTCGTTGTCGTCTTTGAGCATGCTTGATGCTGAGGTTTGATTTTTTCCTTGCAATGTTTTACGAGCTCATTCTTCATAGGCGATTCGGGCGTTCCTTATGTCTAGGTATGCATCTAAACGTGCCACACGATCATTTTTATCGATCATAAAGTCAAAGAGAGATACGGTCGAGAAGACTTCGATATGGTATCGCAAATGTTGAAGGTCTTCAAGGGAAAAAGGAAGTTCGGCGGTGTCTATGTCTATGTATGGGTCGACCTCGAAGCCGAGGACTCAAGCCTCACGTATATGCTGGAACCTAGCTTTTATTATTGGATTAGTGGTTTTCTGGATAATCTGTTTAGCATCAGGATAAGTTAGTGCCAGGTCGAGGGTTTCTTGACATGCCTTGGGCAGGCCGTATATGCCATTGGCGGATGTTTCTTGTGAAATTCTCGCATGTACTCCAGGGATTTGCCGAGGAATGGAGGGTGTAGATTCAGTCGGACTTTTATTAATAGCTCTTGCGGGGGTAATGGAGGAAGCTTTCTTTCGGCTTCTTTGCTGAAATGCTCAAGACGAGCTTTCATCTCCCCAGGCCGAAGAAGGAGTTTGATGCGTTTCTCGGACTCTTCAATGGTGGTTTCAAATTTGCAATCAATTGCCATTTTCTCTTGAAGTAATTCGGCTATGATAGTCAGGGTTTGTTGGTCATCGCCGCTTCCTGCTACATTTTTTGGCTGCCACTTGGTAGTCGAAGTAACATGTGCTGCTTGTCGTCGAGCCATGCAGTCTATCAGTTGGCAGCGACGTTTTTGAGATTTGGATAACACATATACATGCCAGTAAGGGAATTGTAACTATACCAACGTTGCTCGCATGGTTTAGGTGGCTTGAAAGTTTTTTGACTCACCGATAAACTCGAACTGCTGGAATTACGCGAGTAATAATCCTTATTATAAAACGGCGCGTCAAAGTCAAGACGTCGTTTGGCTGAGGTTGGACCCTTTATTTGTACCTGAGGACCGAGCCTCTCGAACACCTTCTAGCGTTGGCCTGCACCGAGTTCCTTTGGAGGTGTCACTGTGGGCGTGAATGGTTACCATGAAGTTAGGAGCCTAAGGTTTTTTCTCTTTAGGTTCGGTTAAGACAACGCGTATTTTACAACGGCCACACAAAACCATCGGTCCATCAAATTCTTCTGCACTGGAGTTTAACATAGTTTCGACTATGGCCAGTCCGAAAAACTCTGTGGGCGGTTCATTTGAAAATAAATCAATCTTGAGTCACGGCTGAGAGTTCTGCTTTAGGACATGTTGTACTGGGATGAACTTGACCTTCTATTTCCCTTCGTTCTTATGTAGATGAGCATCCACCATGCCAATTGTCGTCAAGGGAAAAGGATCAACATCGATCATCATTTGTTTTTCAAGAAATTTTAGCTTGCCTTTATCAATCCAACTTTGAATGGCATCACGGAACACGACGCAATTGTTGATGGTATGCTTGTTCGAGTTATGGTACTTTCAATACATTTTGCCTTTCAACTCTTTGGCCTTAGGAATATTATGTCCTGGGCGAAGTTTAATGATCTTTGCCAACAACAACTGGTTGAAAATTGCATCGGCCTTGTTGATATCAAAAATGTATACGTTCGATGTTTTAATCGTCTCTTCAGAGGCCTAGCAGGTTTTGGCATCCTTGGAATTAATTTGAGCTAATGCCTTGCAAATGTATGGTTTATCTATTACTATCTCAGTCGCGTCCACACTGGCGTATTGGGAATCCTCACCTTCAGCCGATGTGTAACTAACCGTGGGGTTCCTGTATATCGTTCCCCAGGATGGAGACTTCGAGATCTTATCCTTCGCAGCAAATAATCATACTGCTCGATGTGCTGAGCTAGTTTGTACATATCTCGAAAATTTGCCCCCAGGAATTTCTTTTTGTATTCCACATCCAGGCCGTTTAGAGAGATTCTAACGAATTCAACATTAGGGAGGGGTACTTGGCACCAATTTCTGGCTGACTTGAACCTTGTTAAGTATTCCAATGGCAACTCATCTGATGCTTGAGCCATCCTAGCTAGTGACGAAACTAACATTTCCATCTCCGGTCGATAGAATTGTTCATGGAACTTTTCGACCAGTTCCTCCCAACTCTGGATGGAATTAGGCGGGAGGTTGATGTACCAAGCGAATGCTGAACGTGTTAGCGAAAAGTTGAATAATTGCGGTTTATGGAAGTCACTATTAACATCTCCGCATTACGCAGTGAACCGAGCTACATGTTCTAACAAAGACAAGATAATTCTTCAGCGAAAAGGTTGAAATCTAGGATCTTGAAGCCTTTAGGATATTCAAACCTTTCCATATAAGTCGAGTATGGATGCATGAATTTTTGGGAACTTTGGCCTTTTTTTAAGGTCGAATCGATCATCATTTGGACCTCGATCATATTGATGGATGTTGTTTCCACTCCTT